ACCACGTAAAGCTCCTTCTGTCCGGTGAAAGAAGAACCAGCTTCCCAAGAGGAAGACCGGGCTTCGCACACCCGGTGCTGGCTTGGGGGCCACGGCCTGCATGCCGAAGCCAGTGGGGCGAGGAGTCGTACTCCCGTTGCCGAAGCCTCGCTGGTGGCCAGGGGGGTAGCGCCTACAGTGGATTGTAGGACTCCGCTAGCTGGTATCTATCCTGACGGGCAGTCGGCAGAGCCACTCTTCGGACATAGGGCCAACTTCCTTATGTCCTTGGGGGGGAGTGGTGCTTAAAGGCCTGACGATGCGCTGGATGGCCGTACATAATCTCGGAGGACTCGAAGCGGGAAGAGCGTCTCCTAGTAGGAACGATGGGGCGGCCCAAGCCGAGCAACCAGCCGGGCTGGGGTGACCTTGGGTAGGAGGCCATTTAAATGGGTAGCTGTCCCGGCAGCGGGCCAAGCAGTGACGACCCGGCAATAAGAGGGCCAAAATGAGCCCTCAGTAAGTCCGAAGTCAGAGCTGGCTCTTAAACGCACACCTTGACTTTCGAACGGATTCAGGGCACCCGTGAAAGGTCGAGATTACCCTAATCCCCTCTTTTTATATTTTCTATTATGATGACGAACATGGCTAAATTGTGCGAAAATTTGGCAAGCGTGTTGTGTGCGGATGATGCGCTAAATGTTCAGTGTCGTAGCGGGAAGTTGGAGGAGGGAGAGCAAGTGGAAGGCGGTGTTAAGTCGAGCACTGAGCCAATGGAGAAGCGGACGCTATGGAAACGTAAGCCGCCCGCTACTGATCCACCACAGGAACCTACAAAAGATAGGCCCAAAGAGACTGTAAAAGTCTCAATCCCCATAGTGGACAGCGAGTCCGATTCGGATCGCTCTAGTCCAGATTCTGGTGAGTTTTTCGACTCCGCTACCTCTGGTGAGGAAAGCGAGTGGAAGCCCGCGCCTACCAACGCCAGACAAAGGCGTAAACAAAGACGGGCAATGGCGGCCAAAGCCAGAACGGGGGAATCCGAGACTGAGAAGTCTAAGGAAGAACCCGCAAAGGCTGCGGTGGCCGTGGAGGAGGGGAAACCCTCCACCAAAAGCAAGGGTGGGTCACGGACTAAGTCTAAGTCCAAGAAGAAGAACCCTACCGCAGCGGTGGCCGGGAAAACAAGTCCGGCCACCAAGGCTGAAACACCGTTGTCGGCGCCCGTGGAGACACGGGAAGAGCTTGAAACGGTTGACTGCAGGCGGAAGGCACTTGATGGTGTGCACGACGAGCTGACAAAGCTCCTCGCGCGTACTGACAGTAGATGTCAGAAAGCCACGTGTGCCGTTATTTACCACCTGTTTAGTAAAATAACTAGCATAGTTAACGCCCAGGAGATCGAGATTGCATCTCTCCGGGCAAAACTTGCGACCCTGCAAGAGGTTAAGGGTGACAACTTGTTGCCACCCGCTATACCTTCAGGGGAAAAAAAGGGAGGCAAAGCAAGCACAGCCGGTGGTGTCACGTACGCCACTGTTGCTGCCTGTCCGGCCCCACGAAAAATCCAAGGGGGTCCTCGGGAAGCTGCTAAGCCACGTAGGGTCCCTACCAAGGAGCACACGCTCCTGGTCTACCCTACGCGTGAACAAATGACAAGTGACAATACAAAGTCACTGCTGAAATCNCACGTTGTGGGCAATCTAAGGAAGAGGAAGGCACCTGGCGTTGATGGGATCACGGCCGAGATGGTACAAGTTCTGCAAGAGGAACGTCCTAACCTGCTCCGTGTATTGTATCAGAAGTGCCTACTCCTGGGTCATTTCCCAGTGCAGTGGAAGCGGGCGCGCCTCGTGTTCATTCACAAGGAGAAGCGCCCGAAGAACGACCCCAGATCCTTCAGGCCGATCAGCCTACTACCAGTGCTGGGGAAGGTTCTCGATAGAATCCTCAGTGATAGAATCTTTTTTTTATCTCAAGCGGAAAGGGTAGCTACACCTGCAACAATATGGATTCCCCCCGAACTTGTCGACCTGCCACGCATTACACCGTGCGGTGGAACTGGTTCGCCAGAACCGCCGGCAGGGGCTCCACACGTCGCTCGTTTCGATGGACGTTGCTGGGGCTTTCGATAACGTTTGGTGGCCATCCATTGTGGGCGAGCTGAGGAAGGCAAACCTGCCGACCACCCTTGTATCACTTTCTAGGAGTTTCCTGAGTGACCGCTCGGTCGTCTATGAGATGGCAGGTGGTAGGTATGAGAGGACGCTTGAAAGGGGCTGTCCACAGGGTTCCTGTATTGGTCCCCTCTTGTGGAACGTTCTAGCAGACACGGCGTTGAGGCTGGTCTTACCAGACCAAGTCCAACTGCAGGCTTATGCTGACGACCTATTGCTAGTAGTTGCAGGCTACAGTCGACGCGATATGGAGGTTCGCGGCAACGAAGCAATAGAACAGCTTGTTCGCTGGGGAGAGCTGCATAAGCTCTCTTTTAGCCCTGAGAAATCAGAGGCCCTGACGGTGGCCCGAAGCGGGGTATTGGCACGCCAGCCCATATACCGCATCCGGGGCAACCCCATCCGAAGGGTGAATGAGTTAAAGTACCTCGGTGTAATCATCGACCAGACACTATGCTGGACTCCCCACCTGAGGGACGTTCGAGTCAGAACGAACCGAATGATAGCGTCACTATCAAGACTAGCTAGGCAGGATTACGGGTTGAGTGGCGAAGCGCTTCGTACCATCTACAAGATGAGTGTGGAGCGCGTAGTCTGCTATGCCTGTGGCGTTTGGTGGAAGGACACCGCCAACGTCTGTCAGAGTAGGACACTACTCACGATCCAGCGTCCCGCTGCTTTGCGGATCACGCGTGCGTACAGAACTGTGTCAACGGATGCGGCCCTGGTCTTGGCCGGGCTGCTCCCTCTGCCTCTGGTTGTCAGCCAAGAGGCAGCCTTCTACAGAACAACGGTGGAAAGTAAAGAGGCCATGCATTGTAATCAGAAGTACCCGATTAGACTTAGGCGTCAGACAGACGTACTAAAGATCCATCCTGCCCTCAGGATTGGACTCGATTGGGAAGTCGGTGAACCGACTGGTACGGGTGTTGAGATATACACCGATGGCTCGAAGGACGGCAGCTTAGTAGGCGCCGCATACTGCGTCTTTTCCGACGGAGTTGAAGTGTACAGCAGAACTGACAGACTGAACGAGGAAGCGTCCGTGTTCCAGGCTGAACTGGTGGCTTTGGGGGAAGCGTCCCAGTGGATCCTATTACATCCGGGTCCAGAGCCGGTCACGGTTTACTCTGATAGCCAGTCGTCGTTACAGGCTTTAAGCGACGGGTACCATCGTGATCCTTTGGTACACGAGATCAGAGGTAGGGTACTGAGGGCGAGGCACGAACGACACGTTGTCCTGCGGTGGGTACGAGGCCACACCGGCGTCCTGGGCAACGAACGTGCCGATCAGCTGGCAAAGGCGGGAGCCAGTGGCCCATTTGTTACGAGGATGGTAGATCCCTCGACTACATACATAAAAGGTACTCTACTGCAGAGATCGATGATAAGCTGGCGAGAACGCTGGACTCTAAGTACAGTAGGTAGGCCAACCTACGCCTTCGTGCCTGTAGTTGGCCTCACTCCGATAAGTTGTTGCTCGTTGTCGACTCAAATCTTAACTGGCCACAAGAGGTTCTCCCACTTCAAGTCCAAATTCGAACAAGGAGATGGTAGCTGCCCCTGTGGTAGTCCTCGCGGCGACGCGAAATATTACGTACTTGACTGTCCCTTAACAATAGACTTCCGCCTAGGGGTGGACCAAGTTGACTGGTCTAAGCCCCCTGAACAAGTACTTCGAACGCTAGCAGCTAGTAAAGGGAACCTAAAGAAACTAAAGGAATTGATGGGAAAAATCATAGATCTTTTCGATCTATAATTCTAGTAAATGTCGTTTGGGTCCCCTCTCATAAAGATGGGGCCCCCCTGTCCGTATACCTACGGGTATAAGTCTGTGTTGTTAGCATAAGTGAGCTGATAAAGGTTTAGTAAAGTGGACCAAAGTGCAGTACAGGCTGCACAAACAAAAGTTATGCCAAGTTAGTGAGCTGGGCCGAAGTGCAGACGGGAGTCCGAATGAAGCATCATAGGGCCCAGTTATGACGTCCCTGTCTACCGCGTCAGGTACCGACCAAGTCGATGAACAAGGCATAGTTTCTTTAACCCTGTAGTGCCAATAGGCGGAGCAGGGAAGGAGTTCCTTATGAGACTTGCGGTCCCCGTACCTCACGCACGCCTAAGAAAGAAAGAATAAACACATATGGCTTAGCCACTCACAAAATGAAGACGTAGCAGGCGGCAGAGAGAATGCGTCCTCAACAGTAGAAGCTAATAGATCTAGCGAAACATCCATAATGAAAGCAAGGAAAGCAAAGAACAACTTAAATCATCACTAATACAGAAAAAAGGAAGCGAGATGAGACAGAGAAAACCCTTTACCAACCAAGTGACAATGGTCCTAGGGTTCAGACAAGACAGTAGAGATGCTTAGCATGGACAAGTCAGAAAGACACCAAAAAATCACAGGGAAAGTGAACACAGGCGGCACGCAAACACCTACCGAAGTGGCACGCTTGGTACTGCATCAAAGTGCAGTATCAAGCGTGCCAAGAAAAATAGAAGAATGCCACTCAATGCGCCAGTCGCAGTAGCGGCTATCTGGTTGATTTTTTTTATTATTTTTTATTTATTTATGAAATATGGGGAACTCCTGGTATCACTCATAGGTACAACTAGGAGGGGAAAAGAAATGAAAAAAGAGGGAGAAATGCGAAGGATAGGGGATGAAAGTGGGGGCAGGAAGAGGGAGGAAGAGGTGGGATCCCACAGCGTATGCGTCACATTTATTTACAAATAAACCAGGGTAAAATAAAATTTTAAAAAATATATATATATATAAAGATACAAACCAAGGTTAGTACAGTACATACAATTATATACAGGATTTGGCGCGATAATAGCGAGAGTAAATACAGAATAGTAACAGAAATTGGTAGTTAATCAGAAATTTGAAGTTTACATCTATTTGGCGCGATGACATAAAATAATGGATTACAAAACAGAGGTGAATGGTACAAACATACTTACAAAAGAGAATTACCACTAGAGTATAACAGACAAATAATGAAGACAACTGCATGACAAGCGGTGGAGAGAACAAGCAAATCAGTAAAACAGATAAAACAGTAGCATGTAGCGTGGCGTCAGTAGCATAACACTATGATACAGAAAGCCACAAAGGAAGTGAAAGTCACAAGTTAACAACTCCTGGGTACAATGAAGAAACACTGTTGAAGAGAAGTCCACTCAATCAGGATTTTGAACACTGTTGTTTGCGATGTGTAGACTGCTCGCTAGATTCAGTGCTGCTGTCGCTGAGAGAAAGTCTGCTAGTTTATAATAAATGTCCTTGTTTTCAAGGAAGACGTTAAAAGGACAGGGCCAGTTGAAGCCAGCNATAATCTTTTTACTTTATTATACTGAATATTTATAGCTAGAAATTTAAATATTAATATTTACTATTTTAAATGATAGTTTCTTACATCGTAATATGCCCTGAACTTCTACTTTAAACATATTACATATGTGAGATAGCAGAAATTCCTATATTAGAACTAGTCTTTAATATTAACATTGTTTGAGAGACGTAATGATTGTTGTTCGTAGCTACCTGAGAAAGTCTCCCGTTACATTTTCACAAAGTCAACATGACGCTTTCTCGTGAACTATTAACCTCTACATGGCCGAAATCGTCCATGAATATCGCCAGAGACGGCCGAAAAGAGTCAGTTGCTGTTTTAGTCCTCGGAGAGGAAAGAAGTCGTCACCCATTCCGTAGGATAACCTTTATCAACAACCATTTTTTTGTGTTAGTGCACAATAGAGCCTGGACATTTCAATGGGACATTTTGACTGGATATTTCACCCTTGGACAAATCCTGAAAAAGCCTATAAGAAGAACTATTACCTGGTTCTCCAATTTGATACGACCCTGATCGGGATATCTATTACCAAAGATATTTATCACCACGCAAACCTTATGTGAACTCTCTCTCTCTCCGCGATAAATCTTATCCAATTTATTTTAAATTAAATCCTTGCTAAGTGTTAATTGTAGTTTGAGTCTCTTCCACATGCTGTCTCTCAATCGGCTGACATTACGAATCTGTCTGTCCACTTACGGGACCTCTCGCGCGACGGTGCGAATTGCCGTCTCGGCTTCCGTGTTCCGATAAACACGGTGGTGTCAATCCTGACAGGGCACTAAATAGGTGACGACCCGAAAGGTCACACATATATTCAAATTGATTAGATCAGTCATGAGCAACCTGTAGCCCCTGTGCCATACAAGCATTCTTTTAGCAAATTAAAATTAATAAAGAATTGTCTTTGGTCAAGTATGTGTGAGGAATGCTTAAATGCACTTGCTATATTAAGCATCGAAAAGGAAATTGCCAAAAATTGTAATTTTTCTGAAATGATTAATGACATAGAAAAAAAAATAGCATATTTAAATAAATACATATTACACAATATACGTTTATTTCGAATCCTTTTATTTTTACTTTTAAAAAATATTTTAGGGCCCAAAAGGTTTCTTGCACCTGGGCCCCTTTATCGGGAAGGCCGACCTTGGCTGTGTCTATTGTCCGTAATAATAAAAAAATATAAATATATTCTGTTTAGTTAACTAAAATATTTTAGGGAAAAAAGTATTTATGTTAACTTCATTTATTTTATGCAACTGTCCATTTTTTTTAACAAACCTGTTAGTATAATTAGTATCTAATACTATATTTAGCTGTATACAGAATATGTACATATATCATGCATGTATGTATACAGAATATCTACATAATAATATACACATAATAACAATATAAATTAGTTTATCTAGCTTAAGATTTTTGCAATTAATATCAGAAATTGTAATACCTTTTCATAATTAAATGGCATTTCATGAGCAGAATCTTCCTTTAATTCAACATTGTTACCTGCTGTTGTAATACTTTTAGATATCTCTTGTTCCACTTCACATTTTGTTTTACTTTTTGATGAATTTTGTTTAGAACTATCATGAAGAGAATATGATTGATCATCATCATCATCATGCAATGACTCCTGTTGATCATCATCACTCTGCAATGAGTCCTGTTGGTCGTCGTCATAATCGTGCAATGAATCTTGTTGATCAGCTTTTTCCTCTAATGACTGTTCATCGGTATGTTTTGATAAAGATTGTTTAGAAACGTCAGATACTGTGTTTTTTTCACTTGTTAAATGTAAATTCTGAAGATTTTCATGTATGACTTCCACAATTAATCTTTCAAACAATTCTTTATTGAAATCAACGGAAGTTTCAGAAGTATGGCTGTCTTCAGATGGAATATCTATAATTAAAAATTTTTATTTACTTTAATCATCAAAGAACGTGAGAAATATTTAAATCTTTTATTATAATAATAATCTACGACAGACTAGCTTCAGAAGTTTACAGAAAATTTAAATGTTTAAAATTTTAAAAGCAAATTAATTACTTGCTTATGAAATTAAATGTAAAATCTTTGTGTATATATCTCAACTTTCTTTATTCAGTTACATAATGCAATATGCAATTTTATACCATGCCATTAGTGTAATATTTTTATATTTAGATTAAATAAACAAATAAAATGAATTTAAAAAGGCATTATTTTGTCCTAAAATATTTAATTAACTAATTATTAACTAGTAATAGCAATTAATTAATTAATTAGTAATGAGATCATTTAGTTTTATCAAATTAATATTGTTGTGATTTTATTACATCAGTTTTCTTCTTTTGTGATAGATTATACAATTTAGTTGTTAGGAGTATTTTGAGAATTTGAAAAATATAACCTCAACTGAGTGGCCAATTTATTATAACCATCTACTCAGTACATTGTTGGGCCACCTTTTATTCACAATACTGCGGCAATTCTCTTTGGCATGGACTCTACGAGATGTTGGTTGGAGGAATCTGACACCGTATCTGATAAATTGCATTCTCCAGTTCATTAAGAATGGATGGTTCTGGATCCAGCTGCCTGATGCTCCTTTCGACCTTATCCCACAAATGCTCAACTGAATTGAGATCCAGTGAGTGTGGAGGCCAACTAAGCAAGGTAAAGTCTCCATCATGCTCTTCAAACTATCTTTGGATAATTTGAACTTTATGGCATGGAGCATTGTCCAGTGGGGTAGGCTATTAATTAACATAACTGGATGTACTGTACTTGGTCAGTGATAATATTTAAATACCTTTGGACGATCAGACGTTTCACATAAAGCAAAGGACCCAAATGTCCCTCAAACCATAACATTGCTTCCACCAGCTTGAAGTGTTGTGGCTATGCACATAGGATCCATGCTTTCATGCTGCTTTCTCCATATTTGCACTCTACCATCTGCATGGTGCAATTAAAAATGTGATTCATAGGACCACATTATCCTTTTCCAGTCATTTATTGTCCAATCTTTGTGATCGTGTTCAAATTGGAATCATTTGACCTTGTTAGCTGGAGACAACAAAGGCTTTTGAACAGGCCTTTGACTTCCATACCCAAAACAATGTAATGTATGGCAAACAGTTTGTTCAGAGGCCATCAGAGATGTTCCCTGATCAGCTGTAATCTGATGTACTGTACTGTTGCTCTTCTGTTGGACTGGATAAGTTTGGCAACTCTCCTTTCAGCTTGAGCATCTAGCAGCCAAGGACAACCACACACCTTACATTGAGACCCAATTTTTTACTTGGTAGTCCACTCTTTGTATACATGAACAACAGCCACTCTCAAACACTTCATGAGCAAAGCAGTTTTGCTGATAACCACTCCACTGCTTCTAGCACCCACAATAATTCCACATTCAGTCTGTTAAATCACATCTTTTACCCATACCTTCACATAAAATTCCCTACAACTGTCTGTACAATCATCCAGCAATCCTCTTTTACACCAATCTCATCCTCTGGTGACAATAGAGTGCGATCATAGCTGATTTGTGTAAACTTTGCAGGTGGTCATAACAAATTGGCCACTCAGTGTATGAATGAATGAAACAATGCAAATAAAATCTATACCAATAAAAATTTATAATAAAATTACAAAACTGAAATAAAAATATAGGAAAAATGAGTACTATAGAGTAAATATTACAAAAGTAGTACTATAATGCAAACTATGGACCACTGCATATAATCTGCAACAATTCTTCCACAACACCAAAAATACTTTTAAACTAATTTTACTTTTGGTTATGTTAAAAAGTCTTCTCAAATTCACAAAATATGACTGTGTGGGGGCTTGGGGCCCTAAAAAATCGTATCTGGGAGTTTTAGGTAGGATCCTCCACCAGGTGTGAATTATCATACACACCTCTAATTTACTCTAGAGAAGTCATATTTGTAAGGCGCAAGGGTAAGAGTCACTCCAAAGTCCAGGAATGAGCCTCTGAAGAGAATGAATGCAAAACCAATTAAAATGACTTTAGAATAAAAAGGAGAATTTATTATGGAAACTAAACATAACACTAAAATTAAGTTTAAAATTAATATTAAATACAAAGTCTGTCCTCGAGAAGAAGTTAGCCTATTTCTATGTAAGTAAAACCTAGGGGTATCCAAACTTCGCGACTCACAACATACCAGGAAAAGAGTTGTCTTCTCTTCAAAGACCTTCTGCCTTCTTTTCAGTTCTTTTTGCACTTTATCTTTTTCCTTTCTTATCTCTTTTTACTGATTTATTTTCTCCAGATTTTACATGCTCCTCTGGTGCTGTTCTCTACTGTTGTGTTGGCCCTCTTTTCTCCAAGTTGACTCTCTTTCTGAATGTTGTCTTCACTCTCCTCTCCTCTCTTTCTTTTTCTCTCACTTCCTGCTTTCTCTTCCTATTTCTCTCTGTGGTTTTTGGCATTTCCTTTTGTTTTATTCTTTTTTCTGACCAATCATGATTTTATTCTGGAAGGAAATTGAGGCAATGAAGGATAAGCATGACTGGTTATTCTTTAGTCCTTCTTCTCTCTTGTCTATTATGAATAATCATATGTCTCCACATTATATGGATAGAGTAACATCTGTTACCTAACACTATTGAAAAGGGGGAAACGACGGTCATCCCCTTCATCTTTTCCTCTGAATGTTGTGAGATTTTTAACAATTAATTGATAACTTTTTTATTTTAATTTGTTTCTCTGAATTATTTTTAATCTGTATTTGCTAAAAATTTACAAGGGAGGGTCCCTAAAATTGAAAAAATAAGCAAAATTCCTTTACATTGTTAGCAAAGGACATCTTGTATGATAGATAACAATTGTGCGATGAACAACCAGACAAAACAAAAAACGGATATAAAATACATATATAGTTTAAAATACAATAAAATTTCCAACTTATTATTTAAAGAGAATACATTATTAAAAAGATGCTGACAGATCCATTCACGTCTACTTCGTAAATAACACAAATATTCCTTTAACACGTCTACAGTATCAGCCTTCCAATAAACATTTTCAAGCTGATTTTTGTTTAACATTTGTTTTAAGCTTAAGATGTATTAACTTAGATAATCATTAACAATTAATAGTGTCTAATTCTGACATCTTGACCAAGAAGACAGTCTTAATGATACACCAGGACTTGTCTTCTTCACTGTTGATATGGAAAAAGTTTGTTTCAGTGACGGATGCAGAAAATTCTTATAGAGATGCAATTTAATAATATGTTATTAATATAGAGATTCACGAAAACACCAGGAAGACTATCATATTCAAAGAAATCAAAAATTATATTGTTGGAGTATTATAATCTTCGTATGATATTGATTATTTTTATTGTTAATTTTTATTTATTTAATTTCTTATTAACTCACTAAATTTATTATAAATTTGAGATTAGAATGATAATTTCAGATAAAGCAACTCTGCCAAAAGTTAGTTTCTGCAGAGTTGCTCTTCTGTTTTTTAATTTTTGAATGCTGACAGTGAAAACCAGAGTCACAGATGAATAAATGTACATTATAATGTACATAATAAATGTATGTTACATTATATTCAATTTATTTATTGCCCTTTACAGCATTATATTTAACATTTATTGTTATGCTGTGCAATTATTGATTGTATCTTACTGTTTGGATTCAAAAATAATCTTCTTAATATACCAGTTTTGGCCATCATAAGTCAAGGACTGACAATACTAGTATTTTGTAATTCTAGATTTTAAGCTTTCATTGTACCACTTTAAAATTAACTGTTCTTTTTCTTACATTTTCTTTTTTCTTTCCTACATTTAAGAATATTTTTAAAAATTATTGTGTCTTTACAAACTGAAATTTCCAAATTGCCTTATTTTATTTCTAATACACCAAGAAAGTAAATGAACAACAGTACAAACATTTATAAATAACAATAGATTTTTTTTATCAATGAAAACTTGCACTTGCAAATTATAGGGAAAAAATTATAGTAATTAGGATAATTAATAAATAATTAAACAAATAAATAAGTAGAGATGAAAATCATTTATATAAGAACTGAACATATATGAAACTAAATAAATATTTATAATCTTTCACCAGTGTGTTTCTCAATAAATCAATCATAAAGCAATTCTGTTAGATCCTTTATTTTCAATAAAAATTTATATTTAAAAAAAAAACAAGGAAAAAAAGTGATGCTATAAACATAGTATACATTAGTTCTTCCACCTTCTGTTAATAGTTTGTAATTTGTTTGTATTCTTGTTGATTAATATAATGCAACTATTATGCTAGAGTGTTATTTCTTTGTATTCTTGTTGATTCTGTAAACAGGATTATCAAGAATACAAACAAATAACTCTGTAGCATATCTGCATCCTACTAATCAATTGACTGTTTTTAAGCCAATGAATAAAGTTACAGAATAATCAAACTCAGAATTATTATATTAAAATTGCATTTTAAATCAAGATAATAAGCCATCCCTTTTATATGTGCAGAGATTTTTATATTATGCACTTGTGACATCTTACACTAACTCGAGATAAATTTCTAAACTACTGATATTGAATTTCTCAGTATGAATTATTAGAATAAATATTAAAATTATTTGTCTCATTGATCATATATATTTATATATTCAATATATCATTCTATTTTTTTTATTGGTGATTTGCTTTTTGTCCTTATGTTACAATATGCAAAACGACTACTAATCTTAACACTGCGTTGAGTAACAACAATCCACAAAACCTTTTTATAACAGTGTTGTGTCCTATAACAATCTTCACAAACGTTTTCGACCTCCACCGAGGTCTGCTTCAGGTGGTGACTAAACAGTGTCTCCTCTTGACCATTGGAACAATGACACCCAAGATGTAAATAATGCACGTATCGCGTTTCACCCCTCCGCTTGTCCCAGTTCAAATTTACGGAGAAACGATTGCGCAGGCATGGAGATTCTTATTCGAAGAATTTGAACTGGGAATTTGAGAGGTGAAACGCGATACGCGCATTATTTACATCTCGGGCGTCATCGTTCCAATGGTCAAAAGGAGACATCGTTTAGTCACCACCTGAAGCAGACCTCAGTGGAGGTCAAAAACATTCGTGAAGATTGTTATAGGACACAACACTGTTATAAAAAGGTTTTGTGGATTGTTGTTACAATATGCCTGTGTCTACCCACTTCTGTATGATTACTCTGACAACCTCAATAGTATGTGATAAGTCCTCCACAGAGCCAAAACTTTGTGCTTATAGATTCATATTTTTATTATCTTCTGGAAAAAATACTAAAAAAATGTTTTGCACTTATAGTTATCAATATCTTTAAGTTTAACACTGTAGTTATGAATTGTCTCATAAAGTTATGACTTGGTTTGGTTTAATAGGATAATGCAATGTAAAACAAGGGTTATCTGAAAAGGGAGGGTACCTCTCTGAAAGACTTTCTACAGAAAATTGGCACCCAGTTAAGTGTTACACGAGAAGAAAGCCTAGAAAACTCCATGCAGCCAGTCTGTTGGATTGATGCAAACTCATGCACACAGATGCAGGAGTTTGCATCAATTGTGTAAGGTGAGTTTGCATAAGATGCAAACTCACCTTACACACAGTTATAATAAATAATAATCAACTAATTTTAATACAAATTATGAAAGTCTGCTTGATTATTTTTTACTAGGCAACATATTGAAGCAATTAATGAATGTAAGAATATGTTATTAAGAGTTATTAAGATAAACAGAGATTAAATTAGATTTTAAATTTAATTACTATGTATCTATTAATATATTTATAAAACTCTAAAAGTCACCATTAGAAAATCCAGTATGTTTTTGAATTTAATGTAAAAGAATGAAATATTCAAATAATTCTTACTTGTTTGCGAAAGCAATGGTAGAAGTGACGAATATACAGAAGCCATATTTATTTCGTTTCTAAATAGAAAATTTATTATACATTATTATTTTTAATAATTGAAAACATGAAATTATAATATTTTTATTAATAAATCAATTTTGTATCATTATAGAAACAGTTAATTTTTATTAAAAGTTTTCAATAATTAAATTAAATTTTAGACAATAATAATAACAATATTAATAAATAAGAAATTATTTTAAAACTGATATAAAATTCACAGTAAAACAAATCCCTAATTCCCAGGTTTCACAATTTACCCAAATCACAAGTTCTTTTTGGTTCTCTCTGCCTGATCAACCACTCATGGATCTACACTAAGCCTGTGAAATATTCTCCACCGCAAAGACACCGATGTTGATAAGTATACTCCAATCTAGCATCAGAAGCACTGCTGAGTAGCAAAAATTGGCTTATATGTCTGAAGCAGGAATAAATTACTCAGCATTCCAAATTTAGCATCTATTGCTATTTTTTATAACCTGTACTTGATCGTAGCTTGTCTACATTCTGTTTACAATATCAATGTAGCCAGTAGCCAGTAAATATAGCTATTCATTATCAATAAACGGTACAGTAAATTACTTAAAAGAAAATGTCACTACTGTGCTTAGTCCCTATAGACAGGGAATAGATGATCATGCATTGTGAGGTGAGGATAGCTCTTGACAATGGTGATGTTTTGTTTGCCAGAGTCGGAATGATCTTACATTAAGTATTCTTAAAAAATTTCTTTTTCAAGAAATTAAAAATTATTATTGAATTAAATTATCTCTATAATTAGTATGACTGTTATAGAAATAAAAAAATATATATACAATATTAAAATAATAAATACAGGGCCTTCCAAAAAATTGCTATCATTTTAAATTATTGTAATTATGATAATTATTATCTGAGAACATTGTAATGTACATTAAAACATTGGAAAACTGTCCAAATTTCACATTTATACATTGCAATTTCTCAATGTGTGCATCTCGTGTCACACAGCACACATCCAACCAATACAGTATTAAAATATTCTTCTTATGCTTGCTATATCATAAGCAGCCACAATTATACAGATGACCCCCCATAACACTGTTGATAATTCCGTTTTATATGAATTCCATGTTGTATGAGTCACTTAGATTTTACAAATACTGAGCCGTTCATAGCCCGGCACACGTATTTGTAAAATCTAAGTTACTCGTACAACATGGAATTCATATAAAATGGAATTATCAACAGTGTTATAGGGGATCAACTGTATAGCTCCTGCAGGTTAGGGTGCAACTATGCAGATGTGAATTTAGTAGTGAGTGAGAGGTTGTGAGTGATATAGTTCTTGCAAAGAAAAACAGGCACAAGCAAGAAGCGAGAAATCTCACTGGAGTGAGCGAATTTCTGGTTCTCACACATATCTGACAGGGTTTGATATTTATTGCAACTTGCATCTTCTCACCACATATTCTCACCCGCTCACGTCTGCATAGTCTCATCCTTACACAATGACAAGTGATTCCGATTCCAACTTTGTGAACTGCAGAATCACAAAATGCCTTCTCTATGGGAAGTCGCCATTTTCGTTTACAATGTTTCCTAAAGGTAACAGACAAGATGTTTGAATGCAGATGGGAGATGAAACTTGGACAGTTCCTCTATCCATTGGTGCACATTACATACTTCTTAGATAATAATTAATGATTAAAATAATTTAAAACGGTAGCATTTTCTTTGGAATTTTATATTTGAGATTTTTATTAATAATAATTAAATTTCTGTTTACAATAATTTATATATTCAATATATCATTCTATTTTTTTTATTGGTGATTTGCTTTTTGTCCTTATGTTACAATATGCAAAACGACTACTAATCTTAACACTGCGTTGAGTAACAACAATCCACAAAACCTTTTTATAACAGTGTTGTGTCCTATAACAATCTTCACAAACGTTTTCGACCTCCACCGAGGTCTGCTTCAGGTGGTGACTAAACAGTGTCTCCTCTTGACCATTGGAACAATGACACCCAAGATGTAAATAATGCACGTATCGCGTTTCACCCCTCCGCTTGTCCCAGTTCAAATTTACGGAGAAACGATTGCGCAGGCATGGAGATTCTTATTCGAAGAATTTGAACTGGGAATTTGAGAGGTGAAACGCGATACGCGCATTATTTACATCTCGGGCGTCATCGTTCCAATGGTCAAAAGGAGACATCGTTTAGTCACCACCTGAAGCAGACCTCAGTGGAGGTCAAAAACATTCGTGAAGATTGTTATAGGACACAACACTGTTATAAAAAGGTTTTGTGGATTGTTGTTACAATATGCCTGTGTCTACCCACTTCTGTATGATTACTCTGACAACCTCAATAGTATGTGATAAGTCCTCCACAGAGCCAAAACTTTGTGCTTATAGATTCATATTTTTATTATCTTCTGGAAAAAATACTAAAAAAATGTTTTGCACTTATAGTTATCAATATCTTTAAGTTTAACACTGTAGTTATGAATTGTCTCATAAAGTTATGACTTGGTTTGGTTTAATAGGATAATGCAATGTAAAACAAGGGTTATCTGAAAAGGGAGGGTACCTCTCTGAAAGACTTTCTACAGAAAATTGGCACCCAGTTAAGTGTTACACGAGAAGAAAGCCTAGAAAACTCCATGCAGCCAGTCTGTTGGATTGATGCAAACTCATGCACACAGATGCAGGAGTTTGCATCAATTGTGTAAGGTGAGTTTGCATAAGATGCAAACTCACCTTACACACAGTTATAATAAATAATAATCAACTAATTTTAATACAAATTATGAAAGTCTGCTTGATTATTTTTTACTAGGCAACATATTGAAGCAATTAATGAATGTAAGAATATGTTATTAAGAGTTATTAAGATAAACAGAGATTAAATTAGATTTTAAATTTAATTACTATGTATCTATTAATATATTTATAAAACTCTAAAAGTCACCATTAGAAAATCCAGTATGTTTTTGAATTTAATGTAAAAGAATGAAATATTCAAATAATTCTTACTTGTTTGCGAAAGCAATGGTAGAAGTGACGAATATACAGAAGCCATATTTATTTCGTTTCTAAATAGAAAATTTATTATACATTATTATTTTTAATAATTGAAAACATGAAATTATAATATTTTTATTAATAAATCAATTTTGTATCATTATAGAAACAGTTAATTTTTATTAAAAGTTTTCAATAATTAAATTAAATTTTAGACAATAATAATAACAATATTAATAAATAAGAAATTATTTTAAAACTGATATAAAATTCACAGTAAAACAAATCCCTAATTCCCAGGTTTCACAATTTACCCAAATCACAAGTTCTTTTTGGTTCTCTCTGCCTGATCAACCACTCATGGATCTACACTAAGCCTGTGAAGTATTCTCCACCGCAAAGACCAATTTTGATAAGTATACTCCAATCTAGCATCAGAAGCACTGCTGAGTAGCAAAAATTGGCTTATATGTCTGAAGCAGGAATAAATTACTCAGCATTCCAAATTTAGCATCTATTGCTATTTTTTATAACCTGTACTTGATCGTAGCTTGTCTACATTCTGTTTACAATATCAATGTAGCCAGTAACCAGTAAATATAGCTATTCATTATCAATAAACGGTACAGTAAATTACTTAAAAGAAAATGTCACTACTGTGCTTAGTCCCTATAGACAGGGAATAGATGATCATGCATTGTGAGGTGAGGATAGCTCTTGACAATGGTGATGTTTTGTTTGCCAGAGTCGGAATGATCTTACATTAAGTATTCTTAAAAAATTTCTTTTTCAAGAAATTAAAAATTATTATTGAATTAAATTATCTCTATAATTAGTATGACTGTTATAGAAATAAAAAAATATATATACAATATTAAAATAATAAATACAGGGCCTTCCAAAAAATTGCTATCATTTTAAATTATTGTAATTATGATAATTATTATCTGAGAACATTGTAATGTACATTAAAACATTGGAAAACTGTCCAAATTTCACATTTATACATTGCAATTTCTCAATGTGTGCATCTCGTGTCACACAGCACACATCCAACCAATACAGTATTAAAATATTCTTCTTATGCTTGCTATATCATAAGCAGCCACAATTATACAGNGATCTCGGCGTCGTCGGATGGCTAGGAGGGCAGTTCGAGTGGGGAGGGAGGTGAGCAAGTTGATAGGCGTCCTTAAATGACAGGAAACAGGTTTAAAACTAAACAAGCATTTATTATATACTCAACTAAGCACTACAAGAGGTTAAAAGCGGTTATCTCTACTATTTACATAAATTCGAGTACGAATTCTCCAGTTCGAGAGAGAGCGCTTACAAATCCTATATACCCCAAAATACCTGTCGGTGGCAGGGCGAATTGGCGAACGTTCAGGATATGGTGTCTTCCGTGTCTTCTATTCAAGATCCTCTCTCTATAGCAGGATCGGGTCCGCTGAATGGAGGCTCGAGAGTTTCGGTGACACTATTACTAAGTATAACTTCCTATGACGAATCGCCCTGAGGTTACGGAGATTCGAGATCATATACTTTTTCATGCGAGAGCTGACACGTCATCGATTCTTGTTGACGATGACGGTGCATTTTTCACACCTAACTGTAAACTTCCTCAGCGAGTTGTGATACAATCGGTGTAATCCGATCTAATACAAAATCTTCGGTTTTTTTCCGACGTTAATTAACAAGAAAATTTAAATTTTTAAAAGACCCGCAAAAATCCGCGGGCTCACAAATACATATAGTGACAATTTATTCCATCAAGAAATTTATTAGACTATTTCTAAAAACAAATAAAACTATACTGTTCAGATAATATAATAATTTTGCTGTAGTAATGTTGGAAGAGCTTTACCATTATTTTCTTTAAAAAAAATAAATAAATAATAAATTTTTTCTGTGATTTTAATCATTTATTTGTAAATAAAAATTTTAATTATTTTATGATATAAAATTTTATTACATACCTAGAATTTAAATATCTCGAAATTATACAAGAAACTTCAGAATTTTCTTCCAGTTGATTTCTATGTAATTCTGAATGATTTCTAGATGCTGAATTAGTGTGACTATTTGTTTCTTTTTGTATTACGTGTTCTCTTTCTGATGCATTACTTTTGCTTTTGTCTGATTTATTTCTTATATCAAAATCTTTTTGATATTTCTGTAGTTCTTGATATTGTACAGATTTCTTAGCAGTTTTTGTTTTATTTGGTTCCATTTCCCAGTTTTTTCTGTTTAAATTGTTGTCGTGTTTACTTTTTGTTGGAGAGTAAACGTAATCGCTTTCAGTTATTTTCTTCTGTTCTAAATGTTCTGTTTTATGCTGATGAATTTTTTTAGTTTTTTCAGTCTGAATAGATTTATTTTTCAAAAGTTTATGTTTATCTGTTTTATTTGTAATATTTGTTGGCATTTTTTGAAAAAAATTGCCATTTTCCTTATCAGAAATGCCATATACATAATTTTTTGAAGGATTATTATGTTTACTTGTTTCACTTGCCGATAACATCTCCAAATTAAATTTTCCGTCTTTATGTTTTGTTGGAGTTTTACTCTTATCCTAAAAATTATATTAAAATATGAAAATTAAAAAATAAAAATTACATTAAAATCCATAATAATTATCAGAGTTATAAAGTATTTTTTTTTTTACAATTATTATTTTTTTATTTTTGAAAAATAAACGATCAAAATGTTTCATTAATAAGCTTCTATTAAATCTATTAAAACATAACATTTTAATTGTCTTATTATTTTGTTAACGCTTTTTACTTTAACAACTATTTAACAAAAGAAAAATTATCATTTTTAAAAACATACAGATTATCTGTATATAAGGACTTCAGACTAATATGCATTTTAGGACTTCAGACTAATCTGTATTAGTCTGAAGTCCTAAAATGCAAATTATAAAATTATGTAAAATTATTCAGGCAGTGTTAGCGAAGCCTCTTATATGTGGCTTACAATATTGCATTCAATCTCAAAATATGATCGATTGATTTCGATAAAACTTTACCAATTTCCATTTATTGCAATGAAGAATCCAAAAACATTATAAAAATTTGGAGTCAATGACTTTGTTTTCAAGATACAAGGTTGTAGCATGAGTGTGCGCGACAAAGCGATATTGCACGAATCATGCAACTTTGTCAGGCAATGTCCCAAGATCTCAAGTACTTCTTCTACGTCGTTTATAGAATTCAGTTCATTCTCAAAATTTGATAAAATTTTGCCATTTTCCATTAATTGCAACTAGGAATGCAAAAATTTAATGAGGGGCCATGTAACCTCAACTGTGTTATTCCCGACATATATCGGGGTTGTGACCTTTGACCCGCTGAGTTGGAACCGAGATGTCTCGTTATAGTATTTGTATGTTTTTGGTATGTTTTTGGAACTAGATGTCGTGAGTCATTATAATTTTCTTATTAAAAATAACTTCCAAAATATAATTTTTTTTGTTTCTATATTTATCAATATATCTATTTTGTTTGTGAAAAATAAAAAAATAATTTCGGATGATACAATAGCCACGATTACTTTTTAAAAAATGTAAAATTTTTCATTAGGTTTAACATCAACAAAAATTCAACATGGTGGTCACATGCATCAGAGAAAAATTTTAACATGGGATAGGTTAAATATAAAGGAAGTAGGGCTCCATGACTTCATTTTTGATATACAGTGGAGTCAAAGTGACAATGTCCATGCCCCTGACACAATTGAGTCTAAAGAACTTAGGGAGGGAAAACCAGCATTGATAGCACCAAATAGAAAATAAGTGCAAAAAAAATGAACAAAACACAACAAAGCAATCAATGACAATTGCTTTGTTCTTGGATTGTCCTCCATGTTGGCAATTACAAGGATTGTCTCTCCATAGCCAGCCACTGTAAGGATTGCATCTCCCGTGGCCTGCAGCTATGAGGATCACCTGTGTTGTGACCAGCAGGTACAGATGAAGGCAGAGGCAGATGGGGTACCAAGATGATAGGGTGCCAAAATTCCAAAATTGTTACATGGGCAAACTAATAAATTCATAGAAAACAGCTACACACGAGTATGAAAAATTATATTATGAAATATAATATGGATTATATTAATAAAAAGTGATTTTATACTTTTAAAATTTGTAACACATTAATTAAAGATTTTTCCAAAAGGTACCATATTTCAGTTTGCCTCTGGTGCTGAATGCTCTAGCCACATATGTAAGTATAAGAATAGCATCTTTCGTGGTGGCAAGTGCAAACTTCGCCTGTCCGTGTCCATCAGATACAAGAATTCAATTCTATCACAATATGACAAAGTCGCACAATGTCCTAGTTGTTTTTTTATTTAAGAAATATATACATGCAATTAATCAAATAATTGATTTGATGAATTAAGAATAACTCTTAAATTTAATGATAAATTATGCTTTGTGTTAAAAATACAGAAATTAATAGTTATAATTTCTAGATTTTCTAAATAGAAAACAATCTAGAAATTACAGTAAAACCTCTAATCTCAAATCCTCTCTTTCTTGAATCCCTCCTACAATGAAACTGGCTTGTCAGTCCCAGCAAACACCTTATGCAATATAATGTATTTTTCTATTCATAAAAGTCAAACAAAATTTCACATATCTCAATGTCAACCTCCCTAAATTAAACTAGTTGAATTCGGTAGGTTTTGACCAACATCTTATTAAGTTTTGTAAATCCCTAATTAAGTTGCTTTAATATAGCTGTATAACGAAACCAATGGCATCTAAGTTGCCAACTTAAAAGAAAAATTGCTAAATTTAGCTTTCCTGTAGCATCATCGCACAACTTAAAAGTTATGTTCTCTGCCTAGCAGTTTTTTATGTCAGAGTGGGCAGAGAAGAGACACTGCAGTAACATTTTGTTCTTTTAATTTCATTGGAGAATACTGATTTTCTTATAATTCATATTTCTATGTAGAGCAGCATTCTCTACTTATGGCACCCATCTTGAATTTTGTCTTCAGTATTTATAAACTTACAAAGTCATTTACATTAATAAAGATCTATTTGCAAACTCCCTTAAATTTTCATGTATTTTTCTACAGATAATTCATATAATGTATTAGTGATACTTAATTTTTGAATAAGTTAACTTCAGTATAGCATAGAGAGGTAGTTTTGTGATATATCTAAATTCAATATACAGTAAGACCCTGCTTAACGCTTCCTTGATTAACACTGATTCGATATAATGTGGTCTGCTTGAAGCCTAAAAATAAGCTCAAAATTTACCCTGATTCAAATTATCGTGTCATTTCATTGATTTGTGTATAATATGATCATTTGCAAACATGAACTAATTAGCAAACTGTGGTGTAAGCAGCCGGGGGCTCAGGGGCCGATCCGTGATGACCACTTACTTGGCACGGGTTCATAAAACCCGCTCTCGTTGTTAATTTAGGAGGGCTTTTAAAATCTCAAGTGGGGCAGTGTGAGTAAGTCAACAGGCTTCCAAATAATTAGACAGGGTGACACAGGCTAAACAAATACAACACATTTAATCTACACTAAACATAACACATAAGGTTTTCTAAGGTTCGATACAAAGGATGTGTTCCTGCTTCTTATAGCTAAAGAACTACTTAACTAAAGAACCGAGAGAGAGGGAGTTTACGATTCTACAGATAATATACCTCATAGACCGATGATTCCTTATCTCGTTGTATAGGACGTAGGTAAAACACTCCTGGATCGGCGGAGTTGACCAGTAGTCTTCCTTTAAGAGAGACAGCGATTATGGTGGGAAGGTAAGGATGGCAGGACAGGTCTGGTCTCTACTGATGATGTCTGCCATTGATATCTGAGCCCAGAGGACTGTGTCCAAGCCCTTTTTATACCTGTTTTTAGGAGAGCTGACTAATTCTATGTATGATGTAACCTGTTCTAAGTTCGATTTGTGTCCAGGTATTGTTTATGTTAATTATCAGAAATTGAACATTTCAATAAATTTATTACCTCTTTCTAACTGGCATGATTACTCATTCTACCCCATAAATTTGATAACAGCTGTCAAACAAACTGAATTAATTGCTGGAGGTGACTAAGATCAGAGTTTGTCTTGCAACCTTAGTAATAATTGTTACAGTGTATGATCATCTGATCGGCTTTATCGGTTTCAAAATTGGACGAAATAGGTAGTGTGTGGGTTTTGTCATCCTTTCCCCATTTGACCTTTTGATCTCCGATTTCTACGTCGGAAAAAATAATTCTTAATTTATTTAATTATTATTATTTCTAATTATTCTCTTTGTTTTTTTTTCACTCCCCCTTTGGATGTCACAGGTGGCAATTCATCGTAGTGCCTTACTTTCCTTAAATCTATGTCTGTTTGGTGCAATTATGGAAAAAATATATCATCGTGGATATCATAGGCAATATCAACTTCACATGGCAAGAATTAACTGATGAATGCATGAACACAGTGTGGAAGAAGTTATGGCTGGAGGTATCCAAGAATTCTCAACTAGAAGAGCCTATCGCTGCATCGTTAGCTTGACCAAACTGTCAACTTAATTGATACAACAGGACTAGGAAATGTAGACAAGCAGGATATTGAGGAGTTACTAGAGGTTTCTGGTGAGAGCCTTACCAATGACGACCTTCAAGAACGAGCAGAACAAGGAATTCAAGTAGAACTGGAAAATAGTGATTCTGAAAACACTGAAAGAACTCAAGAATTTCTCTCCAGATTTCTTTAGTAAAAGTTTGGTAATGATAACCGCAATTATTGATCAAATTGTAAAAAATGATCCAGATTTTGAAAGGAGTGTAAAAGTAAGACAAGGCATTTTGGATTGCGATCTTCTGCTACTGACATTTGCTTAAGAAAAGAAAAAAAGCGACAAATGAAACTACACAACTTTATCACAAATAACAAAAATTTCAGAAAAGCCAGAACATTCATTACAAAAAATGAACTTTACATTTCTGTTTGCATATGTTTGTGTGTTATTTAACAAATATTATTATGCAAATTAATATAAAAATAACTTAAAATTAAAGTGAAATCTGTTTATTTTTGGTCACATGTTCCCCTTTCCCTATTTACTCTATGTTAAAATGATCTCGTTTAATACTGTTTCGCTTAGCGCTTTGTCATTTAGGAACGCATCCCCCACTTTAGTGGGGTCTTACTGTATTTATTTAAATCATAATTACAGCCTCATATATCATTCTAATAACGATTCAAATAAATATCATTGACTTAAATATTTTGCTAAATTATTCCCTTGTTCTACTAATTTGTACTAATGCTGACAACAAATCAGAGTTTGGTAAACCATGGTTTTAGCAAAAACTGAAAATGTGTTTTCAACCTGGTTTTGAACAGGCAACAAAATCACTATCGAGTTTGCTTGCCTTTTTTGATTCTACTTGTCTATTATTTACATATTATTTATTTTTGTTGGGAGTAAAGTTTACATGGATTTAAGATAATTCCACATAACTGATATACTACCAGAAAAGTGAAATATATTTGTATGCAGCACCAATTTATCATCCTTGACTTTTTTTAAAATAATGCCATGCATTATTTGTATTTAAAAATAAAATTAATGTGAAAAATAGTGTGAATTAATTTTAAAACAATAAGTTTTCAAATGCTATTTGTCAAATACTTGGACTCCAGTGTTTATCAACGTCAAAGAAACATGGTCTCTTTTTTGAAAGGAGTAATGTGTGATACAGGCATACTCATGAATCATGGATAATTGTTACTGTAGTACTTTATTATTAATAAAATGCAATAATAAAACATTAAATCCATTGAACTCAAACCAGTTTTGTATCTGATATTTAAAACAAGTTTTATTAAAAACTAGTCAATCAATTTTGAGAATTCCCAGTTTTCGTCAGCACTAATTTATGCTTTGAATGCAAATAAAAATTTTTCTATTTTTCATATACCTCCAAATTTTTAGTCCCTTCAAATTCGAGATTTATTGACCTTACCATATTTTCCAAAAAAGTTATATTATAATTTCTAATGAATAAAACTCTATGAACATGAATTTATGTTTATAGAGTTTTATTCATTTATTTTCTTTATTAAAATAAACAGAATTGTTATAAAATTGAATGTTATTCATGAACTTACTTGAAAATGTTCTGTGTTTGTACTTTTATCAATATTTGCTTTAGGAATTGATATACTTTTTTTCTGACTATTTAATGGAATGTCTTTTGCTGGTAAATATTCCCTTCTTAATCTACTTGGTTGAGCTATAACAAATTTAAAATGTATTATTCTATTAATTTGTAAATTTATTAGCTATTAATTATTATTATAAAAGTTATGTATAATTTTTCTACTATTTTAAAACTAGTAAGGTTATTTATATATTTAAGATTACAATCATTTATCTTACGTTTCAATGCTGAATAAGAATTTAACTAATATTCATATATAATATCACTAGCAGGTAAGCCCGACATTACTTGGGCAAAAAATAAGTACAAACATTAAGATTATTAGATTATTTTGTACTTCTGACCCTTCTATTATATTATATTATAGTATTTGATTTATATAACTATAAAGGTTATCTTATGTAAGGGTTTATCAAACCAAGTGACCAATCTAACTCATTTTAAAAATTCTTTAAATTGTGTACAGTAGAGGAAGAAAATTTTTAAAATGTGTTAGATTGGTCACTCAGTGCAATAAACTCTTACATAAGATAACCTTTGTAGTTATATAAATCAAATACTATAATATAAGAAACATTAAAACGAAAACCATGTAAACAGTTATTTTAGCCTACCACTGTCATGTTTATCGCGATACTCAGATGGTACGAAATGCCACAATTTTATTCATCAAATAGACACCAATTGAAAATACATCTTAAAAAATTTAAGATAACATATTTTTTTCTAATGTTAGCATTAACAAACCTTCATTCACAGCTTAATATCAAATGATGATCTTCTAACAAATCAAATTTTACAAAACACAGACCAAATATTTAAGCTCGGCACCCTCAAAAACCACTTAAATCATATTTTGTGCAGGCTGGTAACCTCGTATATTATGTAATTTTCTTATTCGAATGCCACCATACCGGTGGATCCGACAGGAAGAAGGGACTGTTAAGGATGAAGTTTGAAATTAATTCGACCAAAAATAGTAGTTGTCCTCCTCCTGGGAGAGAAGATGGTCAACGACTACTAATTAATACCAGTCTACTATTAATATTTGAAAAGTGATCTGTATTAGATAGGTTGTGATGGCCATGCATGTGATTGAAGTTGCTAACCTTAACATCTAAAAGACTTGATATAAGACTTGTTTAAATAAAAAAAAAGTCTTGTAAAAATGCGAGAATAATTGTTTTTATGTGTTCCTGTAAAAAAAACTGGTGAAGCCAGGTTGAAAAAGTAAAGCTCGGCAAAAATATCTAAGTAAAGGAAACTTTTGAAAATTGTGGCATAAGCATACTGGGAGCAGAATTGATAATAAGACTGAACATGTGAATAAAGTGCACATTATACAGACTACAACTGCAGGAAGTTTTGAATGAAACAATGTGGCCATGATAATAAATAGGAAAAATAAACATCTGCACAGAAAAAGACTTCAAGCTCTACTCTGTGCCTTAAAATCGTTGCACGTACATTAATTTGGCTAAACATTAGAACATCCTAAGCGGTATCAGTGAAAGAAGTTTGGGACAATGGATTTATGAGTTACTAAAGGGAGATGAAATCAGGGAAGGGTGTAGTATGTCAAGGTTACAGCAATGCAACATGTGAGTGATCAGCTATGGAAGATGCATCCCGGGAAGACTTTTATGTAAAGCTAGCCTCATTCTAACCTGAAGAAAACCCAGAAAACTCTATGTGGCCAGTCTGTTGGTGACAGGCAAACCCACAACAAACTACCGATGTTCAGTAGTTTTATCCACTCGGTTACTGTTGTCCGTCTGTCTCTGTCCTTCCTTAATCTTGAGAATGGAGTTAGATAGATGAAAGTTGAGACCAGACATTGAAATTGTAAAAGAGGACCAGATTAACTATATACAAAGTTCTGATTTGTACAGGAAATCACGTTATTTCAATTAAAAAATTTTTCCTCGAACAGAGTTAGATACATAATCAGCACAACTCCATTGCTAACAGGAAAAGTATGATGTACAGTAAAGTAAAACACTGCTACACTTTGTACAGGCAAGTGCTATGTGCTATCTGTCACAGTAATAGTATAATGGTGCATCTATTTTGCAATATATTATTATTGCAGTAATTCAGTAAATATAATATATTTTAAATTATATCCTTTTTTGTAAGAATTATACAGTCAACCCCCCTATAACACGGTAGATACGTTCCGTTCTTTATGAATCAATTTTGTACGAGTCCTTGCCAATCACAGCCCGACATATGTGAAGTTTACAGACTATGGCTGTTTGAAAGGTTTTCTTCCATAAAATTAATCGATTCCTAGACTAATTCGACTCAACATTTCCAAAACACATATATTTTTTTTGGGAATAATCTGTATAAACTATGCTATAAACAAAAAATTGTAGGATTACTTATCGAGTGTGCACTGTTCGACGTCGCCATTGCTTAAGCTTGTGCACAAATGGCAGCCGCGATTTCTGATAAGTTATTTTTCTGCAAAAACTTTGTTGAACTTTGGAGACATCATTAATATATATAATTTTTATGGACGTTGAATAAGAAATGTTTCTTTCACAAGAAACGTATAAAATTAGTGCTGTATTAGACTTACGGTACCTAATTTACATAATGTACAGATGATAGTAAACTCAACTTACTCGCCTAAACTCTCCGTAGCATGGCACTGGACGGCGGAAAGTATATATATAATTATAATAAAGTTACAATAAATTAAGTTAATATATAATTATATATACAGTACCTAATTTATATATAATTTATATATAATACTGTACAGACGATAGTATACTCAATTTACCTGCCTAAACTCTCCGTAGCATGGCACTGGACGGCGGAAAGTAGTTCGGCTGCCCGATGACGTTTTACCGAATTATAGGAGTTTTTTACCATGTTTGTACGGATACCGTCGCAATTTTTTCGCCGTCATATAGGAATCCGAACTATAGGAACCCATGTTATGGGGGTCAACTGTATTTAGTTAATTATTTTGTTAAATTTTTTTTCACTGAATGGCACTACATGTAAAGTCGACAATCAAATATAGAGAGAATTTAATCAATATATAGAAATCCAATTAATAATTTGGGGTAGGACATATAACATTATCTAAGTCAGAAGTATTTGAATATAATTGCCAAGTTTTGTAGCAAACTGATCAAACAGCCTAAGCATACATAGCAAACAAACAAACATTCTAATTTATATATATAGATTTCCTATCATATATCTCATATAAAACAATGGAGTACCACTTTTAAATTGTAATATGTATATACCATATTTCCTTGATTTTAAGATCATATTTTTACCCACTTTTACTTGTCTGAAACAAAGCTACATCTTAGAATCAATGGCATCTTACATGCATAGTCAAAACAACAATCAGAAGTCATGCAGGCCGACTACATGATGCATTATGCACAAATAATAGATATTTTTAGATATACTACTCAACAATCTTATCAGTCCAAATTAACTCTGCTTGTAAGGAATCGATTCCAAACCATTTTTATTTTCGTTTGGGGTTTATTTTTAGTTTGTTATTCTGTTTATTTTGGGGCATTTTATTTCATTAAGGATAGACTGCCATACCTAACCCAGGTAAAATTCTAAAACTAAAACTAACCTTACTACAACAACTGGTAGCAACCAATTACATCATTGAAATGATATCTCAGGAACTTAAAAGAATGATCTCCTGCCCCAAATTGTCACAAAAAGGCACAACAAAAAATTATAAAATATTAAATGTAAGGGCAATGACATGACTTTAAGAAAGATTACTGGAATTAAATGATTATTAGTCATTTATGTATGTAAAATAGGGTTGAGTGGGCGTAATCATGCAACGTCATCAACCGCACTATAAGGAGATGAAGCTTGAGATCAAACAAGGTGATGCTAAGAACTGAGAGAGGTTAAAGCAAGGCTTTCGAGTTCCGTTGTTGATGTTGGTGACAGTTAGGCAAATTAAATTTGTAAGATTTCTTTGTGAATTTTCGATAGATTTCTATTTCATACTTTTGCTTGTCGGTTTTGTGGAAATAATTCTAAGATAGTTATAATTTAATTTATTAGTCCCACATGTTGGAAAAAGTTTCTTGTGCATATATATATAGATTTATGTAGAGTAATTATTTCAGGTTTTTGATCATTAACAATTTTTCATTACTTATTGACAATGTAAGTCCAGGCTTGGCACTAACCAAACCCTCGTTTATGTAATGCACTGTTAGGAAATTACCCAGGCTCTCGATACAAATAGATAAGATGTTACTTGCTGATAATGAGCAATTAACTTATATTCCTTTTTGACATTTCAAATATCTTCAAGACAACATTATGATGTAGCTTTAATAATGGAAATAATGAAACAACTGAATTAGAATATTAAACAATGTAATCAGTTTGTAATTTTTAAATTAAAAGCAAATTCTTTCCATTAAAATCCAAAAAAGTAAGTTATTTTTAAAAATTTTTCCAAGTTTTATGCATATTCAGCTCCTGGATTCAATTTGGCAGCAAGATCAGCTTGTTATAGATAGTAACTTTAATCATTGTTTTACGCTAACCAATGTAGAAAAATGAGCATTAATTCTTTCTTTCAGGTGTATGTTTGAAGCAACACATAAGTTTGGATATGTTTAAAACAAAATAAATAAACAAGATGAAACACAGTGAGACTGGAAAAAATTTTACTTTTGTCATCTGATAGTATTATTTAATTTCCTCACACACCGGGTTGAATATAATATCAACTTACTTAAACCAAATAACCAGAGCGCTTGGAGCAAATATACATAGAAGCCTGAGGAAGAGCCCAGAAAAGGCATCAAAAACGTTCGCAATAATAGAACATAAACGCTCCGGTTATTTGGTTTAAGTAAGTCGGTATTAAATAGTATGACTGTTGATTGTTTTGTAAAATCTGCTTAATACAAACCTTGTTAATACAAAGTGCCAATTTTTATGTCCCTTCAACTTTTTATTAATAAGGTTTGACTATAATTAAGTGATATAATTTTCTTATAGTAAAAATTATAATTGTTTTGTATAAAGAAAATATTAATCAACATCATACCAAATTCATTCAATATTTAACATAAATTATAACATGTTTAATATACTTAACTATGTTATAAAGTTTTCTTTTTTTCAAGTATTCTATAAAAATTTTAAAGTTTTTTTTTGCTTTCTGAAGTACATTAAATCCTCATTTAATATTTTATTGTAACATTGATAAGAAAAAATACAAGTACATTTGTAATAATTTACAATTATTGTTGTTGAATTATCTTTATAAACAGTAAAACTGATTCTGAGATTGGAATTAAATACAGCTCTCCCTTGATAGTCCAACGTTTATTAATCCAACATGCTCGGTAGTCCGACGCACCTCCCGTCAAGGTACCCGTCCCTGTTACGTGTCTGCTTGCACAGAAGCATGTCACAATGTGAATCTCCCCATCCAATTCTTACACATTTCGTGTGTTTTCTGTGAGCAGTTCTGTTTGAACAGTTGGAGTAGGGAATATTGTAAACTACTGCTAGCAAAACAATGCAAAATATGTAATTATTTTCGGTAATCTGGACACTTTTGGTAATCCAACACCCCTTTGGTCCCATACCTGTCAGACTATTAAGGGAGAGCTGTACTGGAATTGCACACAATCCAATATTATTATTATAAACCAAACTTTTTACTTGAAATCTGATTAATATAACTTTCATTCATTATAATATTATCTTTTTTCAAATAATGTGAACCTTTATCCATATTAACAACACATAAGACATCATTTTGTGTCAATGTAAATTGTAAACAAACTTTTCCTGTTTGCATTTGTCATTTTAAATTTATACAGTGCACTTATAGTTTTGTTGGAATTAACAACTGTTTATTTTTTAACTAAATAGTGATAGGAGATGGTCCTTACAATTTTTGGTTTGTAAACATTTATTCTTTATCCCTCACCAATTGAAGATTAAGCCCTTTTCTCCATATCATCCACCATCACTACAACTATTGTCACTCATTACTTCATCATATATGATTATCTTATTAATTATTTTCATTAATCTTTCTTATATATATGTATAGCTCAAATTTATTTCAATGTTTAATATTAGAAGTGTTTTGAAACGTTATTTAGAAGTTTGACGTAACCAGAAATATGCCATAGAAACTCAACTCTTTGTTTATATCAATTAGTCTAAGGTAAAACTGGTTCCATTATATATATCATTTCACTAAAATTCACAGCTTCCACAATACTATCAATGACATTAAATGAGGACTTACTGTATGTACTTTGTAGTCTTTATTACTTAACATCTGAATAGCTAAATAAAAAAATTACTAAAAATCAAACACTAAGTTTATAGTAAAATTTAAAAATTTAATTAAATATACAAACCTAATGGATAAAAATATGCATTTTGAAAACAGGAACAAGAATTAATAGGAAGAAGATATGATTTGGCTGGATAATTAATAGAATTTATTATATTACCTAAAGAAATATATCAAATATTAATGAAGTCAAATTAAAATAATTGTATAGTTTCTGACATATAATTGATATAATTTTTTTAACCTACGTTTTATAGGAGTATTTGATTTTTTTGGTGTTGATTTTTTAGAACATGATGGCCCATATTCTTCATAAGTATGAATTGGATTTTTGAAAGTCTAAAATAAATTCATTTTAACTTTAAATATATACATATATATGATTTTATATATTTATAATAAATGTATAATGTATATATCTTATTTCTTAATTATTTTAAAATTAAAACAAAAATCTTATCAGTCCAAATTAACTCTGCTTGTAAGGAATCGATTCCAAACCATTTTTATTTTCGTTTGGGGTTTATTTTTAGTTTGTTATTCTGTTTATTTTGGGGCATTTTATTTCATTAAGGATAGACTGCCA